CATGGGTGTAAACCAATATGTTAACTTTTATGGATTTGGAAGTTGAATTCTTGGGACATAGCATCACCACTCCCAAAAAAGAATGCTAATACACACACAAAAAGCACAATATAGGCATTCCTAGTATTAAGAATTTAGGACACTGTTAGCAAGAATTTTGCCAAGAAGTACTAATTAAGAAAAAAATAATCAAGAGTTCGATCTACTTCCTTCCAAATTAATATTTAGTTGCAAATATTTCCAGGAACAGTGAAATTGAGAAATTGGAATTCAGCATTCTATATGAAAAGAAACATCAAAGAATTATCCGTACAAAGAGAAGGAAAGGACTCTACTAAGTGGTAAAATGACGAAATCCTTCAATGACCATCCGCCTAATGTGCTGAAGTGGCTCGTGATGATAGTCTTACTGAATGTTCTTTTTCTGAAAGGTTTTCTTTGATAAGTTACATCAACACCGCAAAACTGAAATAGGATAGGATCGTTTTTCAGCAACTGCAGGAAACAAAACAAGGGAAAGGNTAATTGATCAAATCGCTATTCAATAATACATTTTGATGGAATAAATGAGACGAAAAGGGGACCTCCTTCTGCACGTGAAATCCTTCAATGCCCATCCGCCTAATGTGCTGAAGTGGCTCGTGATGATAGTCTTACTGAATGTTCTTTTTCTGAAAGGTTTTCTTTGATAAGTTACATCAACACCGCAAAACTGAAATAGGATAGGATCGTTTTTCAGCAACTGCAGGAAACAAAACAAGGGAAAGGTAGAGTGGAAAAGCGAAATAGACACAAAGAGATATGATCTCTAGCATCTACTCGCCAGAGAGATGAAAAGGGGAGCACAACAACGGAAATATTTATGCATTGATGAGCCGATCAAGCCCATATTGCCAGAGAAGACATCAATCCCGCGCCTAAGAAGAGAGCAAAATAAGAGATAACCTGAAGCCTCACTTTGCAGCTCATTTTCTTACTCAACAGATCGGCTGCAATCAGATCCACGAGTGCCATGTACACCAAAATTCCAGCTGATATTGAATCGAAAATACCTTCAACGACCAAAGCTCTAGAGCTCTTAGGGTTGTAACTTGAAGAAACAGCAATCCCTGCAGTAATTCCCAAAGGGGTTGTTAAGGCAAAAAAGCATGCCATTAGGGTCGTTTTGAGCATCCTAAAATGGGCCTGGGAAATGCATCCTCCTAAAGCAAAACCTTCAAAGAACTGATGGAATGATAATGCCCCAATCAAAGGTCTAATTGTGCATGGACTATGTGAAACTCCAAGAGAAAGTCCAATGATAATCGAGTGCGATACTATCCCTAGTTCCAGAACCTGTAAAGAAAAGAGGTACACACTTTGATTAGCTATAGTTCGCAAGCATGTTTGGCTGCGCTGTCTTCTAAAAATCAAGGTAAAAGTTACTTTTCTAACAAGTTACAACATGATGAAAGTAACTATGAAAATAAAGTTCGGAAAAAGTAACTTAAAAAGTAAGTGTGAAATGCGTTTAAGCACAGGCAAACATGCTTATCACACGAAGAACACATTGATGAAAACGTATGAAATGAATTCCATTGGGCTGTATAATTAAAGAAAATGAATATTCAAGATTAAACCAGTCTTAGGTCCATACATTATACAGACATGTCTATGCTTTCCAATTTCCCTGTTATCATTATTGATTAATGGACTGAACATAAGTAGCACCCAATATGAGGTAAAGTAGAATGCTTCTTTGATCAATAGCTCATAAGTTCTCCCAGGGGACTTAAAGAAGATAAACCTACAGCACTACTAAACCCTGAAAAGGAAACTAAAGAAATGCGCTAAGCAGTAAATAAATAACTGTAAGTCTACAAGTGCTTATTTGGTAGGACTCCACAATATAATAAGCCCCTGTTTGACACCCATCTTGTTTGAAAAATAATTTTTTGAATAGTAATTGATGGAAGATTGTGTGGTTAAAAAGTAAGGAGAATTTTTGGGTTTATGTGTAATATTATTTTATTAATAGAATGTGTGGTTGAAATGAAGAAAGAGAAATAGAATGAGAAAAAAATGGGTGTCAAACAGGGGTTAAACTAGATTTNAAATAGAATGAGAAAAAAATGGGTATCAAACAGGGGTTAAACTAGATTTTAGATTACTTTTCTTTCTCAATACAATCCAGTACTATCTAATCCTCCTACAAACATTGCCACATGTTGCCCAAACTATACATAGGACACAATAGAGCAACAAAAAGAGCAGTGGATTTACCTGTGAAACAACAACGTGACGCACACCACCATCCTCATCTCCACCACCAATCCCATGCGAGTGCGAATGGCCATGAGAACTTGAATGACCTTCGCACGCCCCCTTTTCTTGGGAGTGGCTGTGTCTATGATGTGCCACATGCGCATGCATCCCAACAATGTGCATTGCACCCCCTTCCTCTTCTCCAAACACCGTTTCGTCACCCTCCCTTCTCTCCACTGGAACGATGCTGGATTCAGAGATCAAATCCAATGAATCAGCCTGAACACTATGGTTCTGTTTCTCTTGTCTCCTTGCATAGTACTGAGTCCCAATAAATTCAGCCAGCAATGTAGCCAATGCAGCCATCATTGCTATGAACCCAGAAAATGGAAACTCTGACCATGGAAATTTAGGTAGACAAGGGTCGGTTAATGATGATGTGGCATCAGGCAACATGTGGACAAAGCCAGTGGCGAGTATGACACCAGCAGCAAAGGCTTTGGCGACAACAAAGAAATTCGAATCAGTGCGGAAGAATCGGCACTCTTTGCCGACTAAAGGAATTGCAACACCACACACTCCTGTAATGAGAATGGCGGCAATTGCAATTAATTTAAGGATGAGAGCATAGGACTCATTGCGGCATCCATCCAACCCTACATCAATGCTGTCACACGTCATGTTCGACATGGATTGAGAAAGATTCTGAAGAACGGAGTCTTTATGAACCCAAAAACAAAGAAATTCCAAAGAGTTAGAGAATTGTCAATTTTCTGACTATTCGAAGAATAATACAGCAATTGTGAATCAGAGTCTATTGTACAACCCATACAAGCTAAGAAAATCTAAAATTCAATAACCTATAGTGATATAGAACTAATCCAGCAACACTTGGATATGTAAAAAAAAATGAAAAAAATTGTTAATGTTACGGAACTTTATGACTTAGCATCATGGTGACAAATACGGATACCGACAATTAGTAAGTTCTTATTGACAATGCTAGTGACAAACACTACTTTCCAACTAGACTCAAATGAAAGCATGATGGAATCACTTTTGACCTGTATTCATGAAATTCTGACAAGAAACAAAAGGTCTACATAATGACTTAGGTTGCAGCTGTATCCATGGAAAGAAATCTTATACTAATCAAAGAATAAATTAAGCAATCTACATTCGGAAAAAAAGAAGAAGAAATTCAAGTGAAGTCGATACTTTTCTAGCTGGTATAATCAATATTTGAAATTTCAAAACAATGTAACAACTAATTCAATCATCATTGCTAAAGATAAACTCTCATTGTTTCAAAATGCTTCCTTCAGGGTATAAATTGCAAAAAAGCTACAAAATTCAACTTTTATTTTTTTAAAATTTATTACTTGAGCAAATAATAAAACAAATTCTTCTCATAAACGAGTACATTAGCTACATTCATTTACATTTCAACCAAGCAAAAAATGCAAACCCCACAAGTGAAAGTTCGATCTTTTCCCATTTTGCCACAGTTTTCGAACCAAGCAAACCTGAAATTCAACATTCTATTGTTTTCCTATTACCCCAATTCAAAACAAGTAAAACCCACAATTCAATATTCAACCTTTACCAAATTTATCAAAATTTAGTACAAATAATCAAAAAGGGTTTTCGTAATTTACCCGAATAAACCCAAAATTTGCCTCCGATTTTGCTGAAGTAAAGGATCGAAAATAGATCCTGTACCAAATTGAACGGATAATTCAATAAAAAAACGCATAAAATCACAATATCTTGAAGGAAATAAATTCACAGGACAAGAATATATAGAGAATATGAATACTCTAGATCAGAACGGAAAGAGAACCTCGACAAATGACATCAGCAACGAGCGAATTCCTCCTGTATTCTTCAGTTTCAATCAAATTTCTATCTTCCAACAACTAAAGAATCTCTATATAGGACATACGCATTACATGCATGAAAAGAATCAAAATTGTTGACGTATTCAAGTAAATATACAGGTATAGATGAGAAGTCGGATAGAGGGGAAAAGATCGAAGGTATAGATATAGCTATAGATGTATAGATACAGAGGTGTCGATATAGGGAGAGAAAGAGAAATGTCGACATATTTCTAGAGAGAGAAAGACAGAAGCTGCAAGGGGCGGAACCTGGAAGAGGCATTCTTTCTTGCAAAGGGTTTCACTCTGTCGACACTTCGGTAAATATTGAAAGACTATCTCTATGCGTGACGATATATGTGTGTATTTATTTTATTATTAATTATCATTTTTTTTATTTATTTGTATTGTGTTGACATCATGCTTGTTGGACTTTCGTTAAATTAAATTTTTTTATTTCTCATGTTATTTTCAACTATGTATTTATATAATAAAATATTCACACGTAAATTCAAAAATTTTCACTGTTTTTTTGTCACACATTTTTCAAAAAAAAATTATTATTCAAAACATCATTTTTCTCTAATTTCTCATTATAATGCCCTCGGACGGCTTAATTTACATTATTTTTCCTCTTGTCTTGCTTTAGGGTTATGAATTATTAACTATTTTATCTAATGAAATTGAGCAGAATTGAATGTAATTTCTTCTTAATTTACATAGAAAATTACCGAAAGAATTGACAATTTTTGTTACGTGTATTTCTTTATTAATTCTTTTTATTTAATTAATTACTTCATATCAAATATGTGGTAGCCCCTTTTTGTCTCATTTTAAAACAAAATTTTTCAATTCTTATATTCATTTTCAATCACATATTCACGTAATAAAATATTTTAGATGTAAACCAAAAATTTCTCTATACCTTCTAAACACACATTCTTTAAAAAATGACTACTCAAAACATAATTTTTTTCTCAATGATAGCCACCAAACAGGGCCTCGACTCCATTATAATTTTAATATATTTTTCTTTTTTTCAACCGTATATTTTAAAATAAAATAATATTACACGTAAATTCAAAACATTCCCTTCTTTTTAACCATATATTCTCAAAAAAAATTACTATCTAAAATATGTTTTTCTCAAATCCTCATTAAAATGGAGCCTATGTTTTCTTTGCAGGAATACTAAACCCATATTTGGTATAAATTAAGATTTACTAAAAACCCCAAGTTAAAGTTAATAATTGATTTCAACTATACATTTTATGGGATCCACAAAATATCAATTACGCATTTCATCAATTTTTATCAAAATCTACTAAGTCTCTACTTGAGCTTCATTATCTAAAAATTTATTTTTTCCTAAACTCATTTTCAATCACACATTCTCTCAATGTAATTATTTTACACGTAAACTCATTTCTATTGTCTAATTTTAACCGCACATTCTCCACAAAATATTATTACAAAACTAAAAAATGAGCTCAGACAGAAGCTAAAATTGTGATTTTAATCTTCACCTATGGGGGGCTAAACAAGATAACAAAGTAAACTTTGATGACGTATCTCTCTTCATTAAACAATACTATTTATTGAGATTCGAACTTCTTTTTGTCATTTTCATTTGGACTTTGCCCAATTCACCTTATTAAAAAAAATCTTATTATATCATTTTGTTATTTAATGCACAAGACAATAAAAAATTGGACCATGCTAGTTGTACAATCGAGGTTGACAACCGAGTTATACAATCGAGGTTGACAACCACTCACATGAGAGGTTCACTTTTTTGTTGTTGAATTTTTTAAACACGCAGACCCCACAAACATGTGAAATGTTGTCAACCTCGATTATAAAAGTAGAATTATTCTAAAAAATTATCACATCAATGTATTAGATAACAAAGTGATACATGTATGTTACATAGAACAACTATCGATAGTTTTCGCTAAGAATAGTATTATTATATAGAAAATAGTATAAATTTTTTAATGGACGTCGTAATTATTGTAGTGTTAATTTAGGTTGCCTGTGGTTGCGGTGATGTGTTGACAGTTTTTGGGTGGTTGCGGTGGTGTGTTGGCGGTGTTTCGGTTGTTTGTGGTGGCTGTGTGTGCTTGTGCATTGATCGATGAGCTTGCAGATGAGTATGGCCGGGAATGTATGGCTGGCCTCCGATTTGGAGGCGTAGGTTCCGTACGCAAACTGGGTCCTCGTTTTTGCAGGGTCTCCTGTTGCTAGTGCCTGCGAGGGGGTGTGTGTGCGCCGTCGGGGCTCTGCCGGCAGTTCTTGCTGTTTGGATTTTCTGTGTTGTTTTTGGATTGTTGTTTTGTGGTGTTTAGTTTGTTGTTTAGTTATTATTTGTGTTGTTATGACTTTTGGACTTTGGGTCCATTGTTGAGACTCTTGCTTTGCAGAGTGCTCTGGCTCTCTTCGTAGAGATCCTAAATTTTAGACAATGTCCGTCACTTTGTGTGCAGAGGTGCTCAAGTGCAGTTTGCGTAGGTTGGCTTATTGTCGGATTTCCTGTACAAGTCACATTTGTAATTTCGATGTGTTGAATGAATTTTCATTCGATTTCAAAAAAAAAACAAAAAAAGAAGCAATAGTGTTATTGTTATATATATTTTTAATGGTCGTGATAATTATAAAGTTTTGCTTAATTGTGAGATATTTTCTCAAGGTACCATATGTAAATAAGTGTCCAGTTAAATACTTTTTCAGTTTTTCGTTCTCGACTAGATGATGGAGATGTGAATTTCATTTAGGTACATAAGGATTTGACTCGAATGCGTGTTTTCTTGTATTAGAAGTAAAAGTTGAGAAGTTTTAAGTTGTGGGTTTTCCAAATAAAAGAAGGCATCGCTCAATAAGTGTTATTGTAAATTTAAATATATGGAAGTGATTAAAAGTAAACCATAAAGAGGTTGAGTAAAGAATAATTTCCATTACGTTCTCGCACGCCAATAAAACATTGACTATATCTGAGATTTCTTGTACTTCAAGAAAGTATTAGGTTTGTTTCATGCATTTTTTATAGTATAATGAACAAAACATTTTTTCCCCAAATGATGAATTAATATAAAGCCTTAACATTTTTTATATGCATTTTCTATGACATATTTATATGCTACTTTGCATACAAAAAGTATTGCTATTGAAATAATTAGTTATTTTTATATTTTCATCCTTTTCGTTTTATGATAAAACCCCTAAACATCCTATTACTACAACTTATAAAATTTAAAGCTTGTAAGCTGAAAATGACGCTTTTATTGAATTAAATTATGCAAAAAATTATTTCACAATAATTATTAATGAGATGTCAACTAGGAGGTGCTTCACATGTGATCCATTAAAATGTACTAATTTTGTACGCTACTAATTGTTTTATTGTTAGAATAAAAATGTCGACATTATGTCAAACGTTTGGTAATTCATAAAGAAATTAAGGACCACCAAGATTAAGTTAATACTCAACGTTTTTTTTCCTTTTTTTTTTTTTTAATGTAATTCATTTATTCCTTGTTTGGTGGGAATTAAAATCAGATTTTCAATAGATTTTGATAAAAGTTAATGAAATATGTGGTTGAAAATTTTTGAATTTCATGAAATATATGATTAAAATTAACTATTAACTCTGATTTAGATTAAAATTCAAATTTTAATTTCTGCTAAATGGGAGCTAAGAGCTTGTTTGGGAGAGATTAAAATTGAAAAATTAGTCGTTATTGTTGACTTTTATTAGACGAGTGAGATCCAATAACGACTATATTTTCAATTTTAATCGAATTAAAATCTCTCCCAAACAAACTCTAAATGTTTTGGTTCCAAAAGGAACAAAATTTTGAGGCGGCCAAGAAAATGGCACTCGAGAGAGAGAGAGAGAGAGAGAAGTGCAGTAAATCTCTGGTCCATAGCAAATAATTCGTGAGAATATACATTGTTATTATAGTATATGAAATAATTTATTAATCGAAATAATTGTAAAAGTAAAAGCATCGTTCAATTTGCGATGCAAACTTGCTGAGTAAGAATATGGACAACTTATTATCGATTAAAATAATAAAAAAATTGGTTGAATTAAATACCGTTTATTTTTAGCAATTTAGTCTTAAGTAATCCTTATGTCCTTAACTTTCCTTTTTCCGCATTCTTATATTCAATATTTTATTAATTAGTACATCTCATATTTTATAATGGTTTCCGCCAAACAAGCTCATTCGGAGGCATAAAATAACTTATTCTTCATTCATATTTTTAAAAATAATAAATATAAAAATGTGAAAAAATTATTTTTTCTCATTTTAAAGTGCGCATACACACAAAAATATTTTAACTGAATGAACTTTAAGTAAAATTAAAATGTGGTGCTATTAATAAAAATTTAGGTGTGAATATTATTACCCTGATTTTATTCACGCGGTTGTAAATTACGTGTTTATTAGTGAACGACCATGATAAATTTGTAGCCTATAAATATTGTACTCTTGCAACTTTAATTCTTCCTTATAAATATGGGGTTTTGATTATTAATAAAATACACAAATATATTGATTTCTCTAATTTCTCTCCTCTTTTTCTTATTAATTTTATAATACGTTATTAGCAAAGAGTTCTGTCAACTGAGTTTGAAAAAAGATTATTCTTCCTTCTACTCACAAGTCTCTAATCGAGTTGAAATAAGAAAAGCAATTTCTTGTAATAAAAGAAAGAAAGCAACATTACTTCATCTGTATTCCAAAAGAGATTTCAATTCTAATCCTAATTCATATCACAATCGAAGGCAATTCTTTTAAAATGTAATGATGTTTATTTTCATGTGATTTCATGTGAACAAGATAATATGCATGTTTTTTTTTAATAATGACTGTTGACCCCAAAAAATGATTCAACAGACGTCGAGCCCACTCTCGTCAAGTCAAGCACGATTATGGTGCGTTCCTATCGGAATACTAACGGTAGCGATAAG